AGGGCTACCAGGGGGTACCCAAAGTATGGGTGTACCTGCTAATCTTGGGGTACATCCAGAACTTGGGGAAACTGTATCCTGTATAATGGGATTAGGTGTCATACTAAGGGGAGGAGAGGTGTGGTAGGTAACTGCTATTTCATTGGGTACTGTATTAATGAATGTGAATTCCTCCCTTGCATGGGAGAAATGCTTAAAAGGAGGTTGTGTGGAATAAACATCAGTTCTGCTCCTGATGCTGTGTGTCGTCCAGTCATTGGAATCTGTATGGGGATATTCGTGGATTGCTTTGCCTATTGGAATTATTGCTTCCTGGGATTTTTCATCACTTGTTCCTGAGCCTCACTGGGATCTTAGTGGAGTTGACCTGTGAAATACCAGGTCTCCGCTACAATAATCCAGTGATAGGAAAGTGTTCTCTTGGCAGCCTCTTTCCCCTCAATGATATCATTGTGCTTGATGATCTTGGTTCCAACCACTGCTTCTCAAAGAGAAGCATTGGAAATCCACTTTCCTCCAATCCAAAGCTACTCACAGAGAATCACTGAACCTAATATTTCTCTATTAGAATAATTAGCAGTGTTTGGCATCATCATGCTGGAAGTGATAGTGCCAAACTTGAACACTTTTGAAAATCAATTGTTTTCAAAGCCTGCTGCTATATTACAAGAACTATGAACTATATACAATATCAAATATGTAACACATAGTATGTATATATTCATTCCAATTGGGTCAGGGCATATTTGCTCAATAGATATCACTATTCACACCCTTTGTTGGGAAGACATGCAATAGAGAAATCTTGTAGGGTTTTGTTTATTTTAATATGTTTGGTTCTAAAACATATGTTTCCCCCAAGAGTCTCAAAAAAAGTTGAGATATGGTCAACAAAGCCTGGATGGTGCTAAAGGAACACTCCAACATTAGAAATAAATTGAAAAACCCCCAACAAACAATAACAAAAAAAACCCCCCACAAACAAATTAGCTACCTTTAATCCAGCATTGAGATGGTCTTCCTGCTGAAGTCCCACTCTGTCTCTAAAAAAACCTTACTAGTTAGGATATCCCAGGTTAACCTAATGTATTTTACAGAGAACCCACACATGGGTTCCTATGATACAATGTCCACTCATCGCTAATAGAGTGCTTCTCATAGAGAAGTAGTGAATCCATGAGCATTGCCTTCTGCTTGGAGTAAGTGCTCAAAAAGAGTAAGGAAGAGTTCCCTCCTTGCTGTGTAACAGCCAGGGTAAAGAAATGCTTTTGGGTATGGAGTGTTCCTTTCAGGCTGCAAAATTGACAGCTTTGTTCATTAACAGTTTATTTAATAAAGTCCTGAAGTAAACTTTTTAAAACTTCCCTGATTAATGGTTTAGTCAAACCATCATACCTACTACAGCCCGCTGTAGTGGTTATGATAGTAGGGGTACCCTGTCACCATTTTCCAGTTTTATAACAGTCTGCTCTCTTACCTGGTACTGCCAGGTGTGGTGTATTACCAAACTCGATAAATTATTATGTACGCATACACATATAAACTCTGGTCCGTCTACTTTAACAAATATTTATTCAGAGACAAAACAACAACAACATACAAATAATGACACACAATCTAACTAACTATACCACCAACAACAGCAACAACAACCTAACTAACAATAACAACTACATCTTATAAAATCCCACTCACAGTTCACCGTGATAGAAATTAGGCCATGTCTGCTTAAGGGACTGCTCAGTAGCACAGCCAAGAAGGAACAGGGAGGAATGGAGATAGGGGGAAGTGGTTACCTCTTTCCTGACTTGTAAAGGTATTGAATTACTCAATTACCATATCACAAGGTAAAGCTAATCCCACTGCATGAGCTTGGTCACATGATCCCTGGTCACCAAATTAGTTTGATGACAGAATGTCAACACACAAGGTGCCACGTCTCCTCTGTGGCCAAGTTTAGAACATCCGGCTTCTGCAGAACTGCAAAAGATGGATGTCCATCCTGCAACTCATTGATTGGCCGAGAGCATCAGCTGACCATTTTCAGTCAATGAATGAGTGTCTATGGACAGAAGTGGCAAAAATCTTGTTACAGACTGGCTGCCAAAACTGTGTGATGCTGCTGGGAATGAAGAAATGCATGTTAGATGATCAAGTTTTTGGATTTGTATATCTTTATTTACAGCTGTGTGTTTTTGATGTTCTAATGACTTGTTGGCTATATGCTGGATTTGATCAACTTCAGGCTCCATGTTGAAGGATATTTTGATTTCTTGAACTATTTTTTAGAGTTCCTGTTTCAATCTTCCATTTTTCATCTAAATATTTTTTGAGACGAGAAAGATTTTGTGCTTAAAGTGTGTGAAGTGTGAGGATTCTAGCCAAGTTAAAATATAAATATCTCAATGGTATAAAGGTATTTCCTGCTTTATGAACTCCTGCTCTATGAACTCCCGCCTTTATGAACGTTTGTGTCAGCGCACAGTGGATCCAGACCGAGGATGTGCTTTGGGAGACAAAGAAGAAGAGAAGAAGAATGTGTGGGTAGGAGTAGGCAAGAAGAGAGAAGAGGAGCAGGAACACAATTCCTGAAGATAAAGGTAAGTCTAAAAAATGGGTTTAGACTGTATTGTAGTCTTTCTGCACTTTCATGGGCATACCTGTAATATTATTGCACTGTGTACTATTGAGTAGTGATTTGACTTGATTTGTGTGTGTGTGTGTGTGTGTGTGTGTTTTTGCCAGTGTGCCATGTTTTGGCAGTCAGCATCAATGAGGAGCAGGAGGAGAACGGAAGAGCCTGAAGAAATGAGAGAAGGAAGAGAGTTTAAGAGCTGCAAAAATAAAAGAAGGAAAAGAAAAGTAATAAAGGAGAGGGAAAGTTGATAAAGAAGAAAGGTAAGACGGATGAGGGCTTAAGAGAGGTGTAAAAATGTGGACTGTGCAATGCCCCATGGCCCATTCAACAAGTGCAGCATGTCTCTTCATTGAGGAGGATGATGATTTGATGAAGATTTCAACATATGTATTATTTAACAATTTTCTCAAATGCTTTCAATTTGTATTTGTACTTAATAATTTAGGTTTTCAATGGTAAGATTTCTTGGTCAGGAACAGAACTCAATGTTTATTACATTGGGTCTATAGGAAATTAGTTCTCACTTTATTAACACTCACTTTATGAACTAGGCATCCGAACCAATTAGTTCGTAAAGTCGGGAACTCCCTGTATATTTTCATATCCAATATTTTTCAAACAGTAATACTAAATACAATTTTAATTAGTTATTTTAAAACAAATTTAACATTTTTAATCAGCTGTAGGTAAATAGATGGTTTACAAGACTATCTTTACATGTTACTGTTTATTCCCAGTCTAGTAGCTTGAAAGTGTGAAATACATGGTAGTTCTAAAATGATGACAGTTTGCTAATAAAAAATATATCACATAAATTGCTAAAAGTCATTGGACTCACATACACATGTCTGTACTTTAACAATAAAGACTGCCCAATTAACTCAACTCAATTAAAGTTGGGAATCAATGTAAGTAATGTATTGTTAACATAATTACAGTACCACCTCTACTTACCAGTCCACATTAATAGACATCATGACCCAATTAACATAAAACATAAATGTGTACAGCACAAATAACTATAATCATTCAAGTTTATTTTGCTAGCCACAAAACAATTTGGACACATATCCCATACCTGGCACTGTACATTTATTTGAGTAGAACATTCATCTTAATTAGTTTCCCACTACTTAAATAGTTTGCTTGTTATTTTTGAACTCAAGCACAGCTGGCAAGGCTCACATAAGACCATTCACAGCAGAGACAAAATATACTTACAGAATTTAAACACAAAGCAGAACATCAAGACTAGTGAAGGGAGTTAATAATGCCAGACTTTCATTTTTCATCCTATAGCAAATTAAAATTTCCTTCTCTCCTTGCACTACTTGATGTATAAACATGGACAAAATGAATACCCCACTGAAGCTTTTAGGTGTAGTTCACATACTCCACTTAATGCTACTTTTATGGCCCATGCTTGCGGCTGCACGTGGTCGCACCCAAACGGTGGGACCATGCTGAAAGGTTGGAGGAATTACCTGTTCAGCAAAGAGCCAGGAGCCGACCCATCCCCTTCATACGTGGGATCCAAAATGGCACAGACCACGATGTTGCGGCCATTTGTAGCTCCGCCTCTGTCATGCCAAAAGCATGAGTTGGTGTTTGATGTGTGTTGAGATATGTTAAGAGTTGTTTTTTTGTGAATCTTGGGATGTGTCTCTGTTCTCTATGAGCTTCACTCTCCAGAGGAAATCTCAGGTAAACACGTTACCAAAAAAGGTTAATTATATTTGTTAGATCAGTAAAAGTAGAACTGTGATGCTATAATTCTACTGTGTGTGGGGTAACCTAAGACGCCCGGGTTTAAATTCTTGGTGGTGGCCGTAAAGTGTGTACTAGGGGGTTAGTGTAGAAGGGATTGCAGGGGTTAATTGAGTGGTTGCTGGGACTAGCAACAGGTAACCAAGGGTCTGGTGTCATTAACCTCGTCACTTCCACCCTCTCCCCACTGTCTCGGCTGGGCCTATAGCCAATGCTCGTGACAAACTGGTGGTAGCGGTAGGATATATTTAGAGATTTTTAGTGCTTGCTAGATTTTACCTGTAAAGGGGGTCTTAGCACTAAAAGAAATTGCATACTAGTTTTTGTGTAATTTCCAAAGACCAAGCTCAGTGCTGAGTTAAAATACATACAAAGTGCAAAACAGTTCTCCCCTCCCCATCTCTTGTTTTTCTTTCTCTATCCTATTTGTGAATATGGAGGCCTATCGCAAACAATCGAAAGAGGCCTTGGAATTGTTGTGCCAAGAAAAGGATTTACCAACTTTTGGCAAAAATAAGGCACAACTTATTGCTGACCTTGTGGAGGCTGACAGCCATGTTTTCCAGCCAGAGACGGACACTGAAAGGGTTACTGAGCTCCCTACTACTGCAGGAGTGTTGCTTACTGGAATGCCTGGTGGTTGTACCCCTCAAAACATTAAGGACATTTGCTCAACTGATTTATTTCGGCAACTGATGGCTGCAAATCCTCATGAGGCCCTGCACATGATGATCCAACAGCAGGCTGCAGAAAGGGAATCTGCAGAGAGGCTGGTCGAAAGGGAGACAGGCTCTGTAAGGATGATTTTCCTTCCCTCGAAAAAGGGACAGATTTTGATGTATTTTTAAAAGGTTTTGAGAAGGTATGCAGTCAGCATCAACTACCCTCAGACCAGTGGGGCAGATATTTAACTCCACAATTGAAAGGGAAAGCCTTGGATGTGTTTGTGTCCCTTCCCCCAGAGACTGATAACAACTATGAGGCAATCAAATCTGCATTGCAAAAAACTTTTAACCTTACTCCTGAGTCTTACAGGAAAAAGTTTAGAAGTATGCAGCAATGCCCATCCTCCAGCTGCATTCTATATGTTGCACAATTAGAAACCACGTTCCGGCAATGGGTAACAGGAGTACAAGCTACTACCTATGAAGCCCTTAATGACTTAATGGTCCTGGAGCAGTTCTTGCAGACCCGGAGCCCTAATGTACGAGAGTGGATTTTGGAAAGAAAGCCATAAAATGCTAGGGCTGCTGCAGAACTGGCAGATGACTATGTCGACATCCATGCACCCACATCCAGGCGTGGACTTGTGTCAGCTGCTACTTCGACCTGGAGAGAAGCTACAGTTCAATCACCACCTGTAAGATCTGCAGTGAGAACTTCACCGCTGACTGCCAGCGTAGCCGGGGCTATGTCCAGTGAGTCAGATGCCCGCCGTTGCTTTTGATGCAACCAGATTGGTCATCTGAGCAGGACTTTCCCCACTAGGAATATACCTTCACCAGCCCGTGGAGGGGCACCATCAGATTTGCTTGTGGGTGGGTCTGTGGGGAAACGAGAGGAAAACCTGCAGAGTGTAATTGTGGGTGACCGGGTGACCAGGGGACTGAGAGATTCTGGAGCTTCATTCACCCTGGTGCGCCCTGAAGTGGTGAATACTGAGGACATAATCCCTGGAAGAACCATGTCCATCAAAGGAATTGGGGGTGTGTGCCCCGCTGTGCCCCTGGCATGTGTGTACCTTGATTGGGGTGCAGGCAGAGGGTTGCGGGAGGTGGGGATTTCGGAGGATATCCCTGTTAATGTTCTACCACCTAAGGTATTGTGTGGAACTTTGGGAGACATTGTGAACTGTGATTGCTGGGAGGGAGAGCAGGGTGTGAATAAATATCTACTTGTAACTGAACCAGGGATGTCTACCAAATGTGAGATAGGGGTGAGTAATGATGTGCCTGTATCAAAATACTGTGAGGCTGGGATGTCAGAGAGTAAGGGGGAGGAGGAAGGTAAGAGCCAGGGATGTGTACCACTAGTCGCAGTGGTAACAAGTCAGCAGTGGGTCAGGGCTGCAGCAGGAGAGTCTGAGGGGCTAAGTGAGATTGTGAGAGGATGGCCTGCCTTGGGGAAGAAATTATGTGAGTGTGTGCAAAATTCTGTATCTGATCAAGGGGGGGTCAAATGTGTCCTGTGAAAATGTATGGGAAAAGCCTTCCAGCGAGAGGGGGCTGAATGAATATATGTGCCAATATGTGCCTGAAGCAGATGTATGTGATGTGCTGGGTGAAAATGTGAAGGGACAGCAAGGCTATGAGGGAGGGCAGAGGGTGTGTGAGCTTTACTCTGCGCCAGACTTAGCCAGTTTCCAAAGTTCTGTATGTGTGATGACCTGGAGTGAAAGTGAGGGGCACGGACAGACTCAGCCTGTGGGTCCAGGGAGGATGGCTGCAGGGAAACATACTGTTAGAGGAACCAGGAACCTTGTCAGTTTATCACAACTCAAGCATACACCTAAGCAACTTTCTGATTGTGAACCAAAGTGCAACAAGCCCAGCAGACAGTCCCCAAAATGAAAGAAATGATGGGTGTTGATACAGCACATCTATCCTGGGAGTGTTCTCTGTCTGCTTTTTTGTGTGCTTACCGGGGAGTGCTGCAGAAATCCATTGGTTTCTTCCCCTTACAGCTACTACATGAGCGCAGTGGGTGTGGTTTAACCCCTTAAGACCGCAGGGCGTACTATTACGTCCTCTAATAGGCGGCTCTAAACGCCGCCGGGCGTAATAGTACGCCCTCCGGTCTTTCTGTACTTACCCGGTCGCCGGCGGTCCCACGCCGGCGATCGCGGTGGGGGGGACTCCCAGGGAGCCCCCCGCGGCACGACCGTCCTCCAGGAAGCCCCCCGGCCGTGTGAGAGTGGGGTCCTAGCGAGGACTCCACAATCACATGGCCGGGTATAGCTGGCTTCTGTATTGCCAGCAGGGGGGCTGCCTGTAATTACAGGGGGTCCCCCTGCTGGCTGAAAATAAAAGTAAAATAAGTTAAAAGTGTAAAAAAATTAAATTATATATACTTAGATCATATATATATATTATATATATATGATCAAAGTATATATATACACATATACATACACACATGTACACCGTCTAGGTGTATTTTACTATTAATATATATATAATTATATATATATATTAATATCAAATTACACGTAGACTGATACTGATTAAATATATATATAATTATTGTTATATATATATTTATATATATTATAAAAAAAATTAAAATGTAAATACGTTAAAAAATAAAATTACAAAAATAATTAAAAATAAATAATTAAAAAATATATAGATGTGTGTTATTTCGTTCTAACTGTATTGTGAAATATATATATATATATATATATCAAAATACACATAGAACGAAATAATATATATATTTATACACATAAATATATACGTATATATCACTATATATATACCTATATATAAATAAAAATATTTTTAAAAAATTATATAGATATATATATATATACACATACGTATATATATACATATATTGATTCTACATATATATTTATGTAATATTTTTACATAATTAGGTATCTTAATTAATTACAATTAGCAGGACCTGCCTGACAACCCATGCCGAAAGTAAAGGGAATTTAATTTGCTAGCACTATATTTAACCCTATAACTTTCCAAGACACCATAAAACCTGTACATGGGGGGTACTGTTCTACTCTGGAGACTTCGCTGAACACAAATATTAGTGTTTCAAAACAGTAAAATGTATTACAACGATGATATCGCCAGTAAAAGTGACGTTTTTTGCATTTTTCACGCACAAACAGCATTAAACGGACAATATTATTGCTATGATACTTTTTACTGTTTTGAAACACAAATATTTGTGTTCAGTGAAGTCTCCCGAGTACAACAGTACCCCTCATGTACAGGTTTTATGGTGTTTTCAAAAGTTACAGCGTCAAATATAAGGCTTGCGTTTCATTTTTTCACATTAAAATTCGCCAGATTGGTTACGTTGCCTTTGAGACCCTATGGTAGCCCAAGAATGAAAATTACCCCTATGATGGCATACCATTTGCAATAGTAGACAACCCAAGGTATTGCAAACGGGGTATGTCCAGTCTTTTTTAGTAGCCACTTAGTCACAAACACTGGCCAAAATTGGCATTTTTTGCATTTTCACACACAAACAAATACTAACGCTAACTTTGGCCAGTGTTTGTGACCAAATGGCTACTAAAAAAGACTGGACATACCCCATTTGCAATACCTTGGGTTGTCTACTATTGCAAATGGTATGCCATTATGGGTGTAAATTTCATTCCCTGGGCTACTATACAGTCTCAAAGGCAACGTAACCAATCTGGCGAATTTCAATTTCAAATGTAACGTGCTATATTTGACCCTGTAACTTCCCAAAACGCCATAAAACCTGTACATAGGGGGTACTGTTTTACACGTGAGACTTTGCTGAATACAAATATGTGTATTTTATTGCAGTAAAAGCAAACAGTATTATGACATTGACCGTTAAAATGTCATGTAGAACTAAAAAAATAAAAAATCGTATTTTCTCCCATTTTTTTCATATTAAATTATGTTTCATAGCTAAATATTTGATATTAAATGAAAGCCCTGTTTCCCCTGAATAAAATGATATATAATAAGGGTGGGTGCATTTACTATGAAAGAGGTGTATTACGGTTGGACAGACATGTAGCGCAAATGCCAGGTTTTGTTTACATTTTGTTTTGTTCACAACGTGTACATTTGGCTCCGTCCTTAAGGGGTTAAGGGATGTTACCAGAGATCGATGGGAAGTTGAAACAGGCAAATCAGGCATGTTTGTTGAGGATGTAGCTGTGGTATGGACTGATCACAACCTGCTGCAGGTGTCAGGTAACAATGATAAACTGCTCCGTTGGAGCCTTATTTTCCAACAGTATAATTTCCCTGCCCAGCACAAAAAGGGCAGCTTGCATGGGAATGCAGATGGTCTGTCTCTGCAGGGGGAACTAGAGGGTTAATGGTAGACATATAAATCAGCCTGTGGCTGAATTATTCTGTCCACCATCTTAAGGGGGAGGTGTCATGCCAAAAGCATGAGTTGGTGTTTGATGTGTGTTTATATATGTTAAGAGTTGTTTTTTTTGTAAACCTTGGGATGACATTTATTGTGGTCTTTGATCTGGCACCAGGCCTAGACCATAAAACATCTAGATCTAGCATCACCAGAGCTGGACACAAGGAATTGCATAGAGTGGGCAATAGACTGTCAGACTAACCCCCTCTGATCCCCCCCAGGGGTCTGCCCACTGAGAAACAACTAGTTTAGATATATAATGAGGGTGCTGGGCTATCCAGGGAGTTATTCATTTTTTCTTTGGTCAGCAACTTCTAGGAGACCTATACCATCTAAGACTCCCACAAGAATTCTATATGGGGTAACTACATGTAAGGAATTTCTTGTGTTTTCTCCTATTTTATTTTATGTACTGTTTTGCAATTTGTTATCTGTATGTCATTTGTTTCTGTATTTTGTACTCAGCACTGTGAATCTTTTTTGTCAGATTAAATGTTTACTTAATCAGCTTGTGTCTCTGTTCTCTATGAGCTTCACTCTCCAGAGGAAAGCTCAGGTAAACACGTTACCAAAAAGGGTTAATTATATATGTTTTATCAGTAAAAGTAGAACTGTGATTCTATAATTGAAGATTATGCTAGCGCAGTGTACTGATAATCTTAATTTTAATAATGACAGGAGGCGAATATTTGCATTAACTTTCTTTACTAGCTCCATAGCAGCAAAGAAAAAAAACTCTTAAAGAAAAGAACCAATCAGAATGAAACAGAGGATATATAAACCCATACATATCCCATCATTCCCTCTTGAGTAATGCGACATCACAAGTCCCAAAGAAATATGACAAACGTGTCAAATCCAACTTGTTCCAGCTTGACGTAGTTATTTCATTGTTGAGAATGGGAAGGATTTTCAGTCACTCCGTCCTCCATGAAGCTTGTTAAACTGAAAGGAAAGAGAGACTAGTATCAGTGATACGGAATTAACCGTAGACCCCAAATATCTGATTAGAAGTGTAAATTCTCCGTCATTCCAATACGTCTCATCCTACAATACCCGTGAACTAATTGAACTACAATATCTAGATAACCACACTCTCTATTCTACAGCCCTTGAAACCCCAATGCAACAACGGTTACCATTATCCCTATGGATCATAACTTACCTCGTCGTTTGGGTGGGAACATCAAGAGAAAGGGTGGGAAAATATTCGCCTCCTGTCATTATTAAAATTAAGATTATCAGTACACTGCGCTAGCATAATCTTCAATTTTATAACATGACAGGAGGCTTCATATTTGCATTTTTAAAGCTTAGGCAGAAGGGAGAATGCGGCATTAGTCGACTGTCGGAAGTAAAAGGTCCGGAATGTCGTTTCGCGTGACCAGTCCGCTGCTTGGAGAATATCCGCCAACGATGCCCCTGCCAAAAAAGCTGAAGACGCCGCCGCACCTCGTACGGAGTGCGCTCCGAAGGACGATTCCACCCCCGCCAGGGTGAGGATCCATCTAATCCATCTGGATAGTGTGGTGGTCGACACTGGACCATGAGGTTTCACATATGATATCAGTAGTTGTCGGGAGTTTGGTCGTCGTAGCGACCCCGTTGTCTCTATATATGTTCTCAATGCCCTAACCACACATAGTTGGGGTTCCGATGTAAAGAACGGGTAAAATACCGACTTCGAATCGGTCTTGGTTCTCCGGGAGAGTTGGAATGTAACCCCATCTGGGCCAATAGAAAAGGCATCAGCATCAAACGCCCGTATATCTGAGACACGGCGAAATGAAACCAGGCTCAGGAGGAAGGTGAATTTCGCCGTCAGCTGTTTCAAGGATAAGTGTTCATTTGAAGGCCATTCCTTCAGGAACCGGAGCACCACCTCCACATCCCAGAGATGGTGATATTTTGGTGTCGGAGGGCGTCTCATTTTAATCCCCCGTAACAGACGACAAACCAAAGGGTCTTGTCCGATTGCTCTCCCCTGTGACGGAACGTGAGCTGCAGATATGGCTGACCGGAGGACGTTGATGGTGCGATACGATTTACCTTCTGCGAAGATGGATGAGAGAAAATTCAATATCTCGGGTACAGGAGCCGTAAAGGGATCCAAACTCCGTCCCACGCACCAATTGGACCAAGTTCTCCATGCCGATAGGTAGTTTCTCCTAGTTCCCGGGGCCCATGAATCCCACAGTAGGTCCCTAGCTGCCGCCGATAATCCGTGGGTGTCCCATGCGCCCCTGAAAGCGTCCAGGCTACCAGCTGTAGGTGATCGTCCAGAAGCATGGGGTGTGGGTTGCCCAGTGGATCCTTGAGCAGGTATGGATCGTTCGGTAGGAGGAGTGGGTCGTTGCACGATAATTCGAGTAGGTCGGGGAACCAGGGCTGGCTCTGCCATAATGGCGTCAATAGTGTTAGCATCACTCCCCGTTGTCGAACGTGATGAAGTACTCTCGCAATCAGTGCGAATGGAGGGAAGGCATACGCCCCTTGACTTGGCCAGTGTTGAGTGAATGCGTCCACCGCTATGCACTCCGGGTCCGGGAGCCAGCTGTAAAATCTCGGTAGTTGACGGTTGCTGCGTGACGCAAAGAGGTCGAGGGTGAATGGTCCCCTCTGTTCGTTCAGTTGTGCGAATATCTTGGGGTTCAATCGCCAGTCGCTGGCGTCTCTCCAATGTCGTGAGTACCAATCCGCGGTCAAATTCGATTCCCCTGGTAGGTGCTCGGCCTTGATCGAGATGTTGCGTGGGAGGCAGTAGTCGAAGATCTCCTTCGTCAGGTTGGCTAATGTTTGTGAGCGAGTCCCTCCTAGATGGTTGATGTAGCGTACTGCGGAAAAGTTGTCCATCCGCAAGAGGATACAGCAGTTGGATTGTCCTTTTGTCAGGCTGCGAATGGCGAAGGATCCAGCTAGTAACTCCAAACCGTTGATGTGCATGGTGAGTTCCTGGTTCGTCCAGATCCCGCCTGTGGACGTAGATCCATCCGTGGCGCCCCATCCCCATCGGCTCGCATCGGATTCCAGAATGAAGTCCGGGTGGCTGCCAAAAATGGCTCGACCATTCCATGCCTGCATGCAGTTGAGCCACCATTCGAGTTCCTGGCGGACCTCGTCCGTCAGGGGAACCGGCTGGTTGTATGTGGGGTTCTGCCTGAGGAAGCGGGCTTTCAACCGTTGCATGGCCCGATAATGTAGTGGTCCTGGAAAGATGGCCTGGATGGAGGAGGATAGCAGACCCACAATCCGTGCTAGCTGGCGGAGGGGAATGGACTCGAGTTTGAGGACGTTGCGTATCTCTTTTCTGATGGCCGTTACTTTGGTCCTCGGCAAATGCAGAGTGCAGGATCTGGAGTCTATGTCGAAGCCCAGGAATTGAACCGTGCGTTTGGGAGTCAGTGCAGATTTCTCTCTGTTGACAATAAATCCCAGCGATTCTATCAATTGGATCGTGTATTCGGTGTGACGTGACGCTTTGTCGCTCGTGTTGCAGAAGATGAGTATATCGTCCAAATAGATGATACATCTGATGCCTCGAGCCCTGAGGTGAGCTACCACTGGTTTCAGCATTTTCGTGAAGCACCAGGGGGCTGAGCTGAGGCCGAAAGGGAGGCAGGTGAATTGCCACGGGGATCCGTGCCAGAGGAAACGAAGTAGTGGCCGGCTGTCTATGTGAATAGGAATCGATAGGTATGCGTCTTTGAGGTCCAGACGCGTAAACCAGTCCCTTTCTTGTAGCAAGTCCCTTAGAAGGTGAATGCCTTCCATCTTGAAATGGCGGTAGACCACGTGGGCATTCAGGTCTCGTAAATTGATCACCGGTCGGAAGTCTCCGGTCTTTTTTCGCACGAGGAACATGTTGCTGAAATAACCCCCCGGGGAATGTGCGGGTTGTATCGCCCCCTTCCTGAGGAGTTCGTCCAGTTCCAACTCGATGAGTTGGGAGTCCGTGGTGGTGAGGCATAGGGGCCGTGGAGGCCCGTGTTGCACGGGGCGCGACTGCAGTTCGATGTGATAGCCCCCGACCGTTTGCAACACCCATGCGTCCGTGGTGAGACCTGCCCAATTCTGGGAAAAAAGAGAAACACGGCCGGCAGTCATGGTTATGAAAGACATAGGTGTATTTGGTTTCCTTACCTGTGGGAAATCGTGCGCGGGTACGTCCGCGGGCTCCCCGGCCTCTATCTGTTCCCCTTTGGAAGTGGGAGTAAGACTGCCTCGTTCCGGAATCCGGGTAGGACAGTTGAGGGTAAAACTGTTGCGGAGGTCCAGTGCGGGGCCCGATGGCCAGAAGCGGCTGGTGGCACGGCCCCGCTGCCGACCAGCCCTTGAAAAAACACCCCTGGAGGGGTTGCCCCTGAAGACCTTTCTCATAGAGGTACGAGCCTTGTTTAGGGACGTGAACACGTTCACGTGTTTATTGAGCTCCTTCATAAACGCCTCTCCGAAAAGTTTGCCCTGTGCCAGGGGGCCTAATTCTTTTATCCCAAGGTCGGCCAGCTTCGGGTCAATTCGAAACAGTGCTGCGCGGCGCCGTTCTGTTGAAAGGGCCGCATTCGTATTCCCCAGGAAGCAGAAGCCCCGCTGGGTCCACTCTCTAATATCATGCGCCCAGGTGCGCACCATGTCCGCGGTAAACGAGTCCGCTCTGGTATAGGCGTCATCAGCCAAATACATCACTCGGGCCAGCGGCCCCATCGCATCTAGGAGCTTGTCTTGTGCCCCTTTAAAGCTCCGTTCGATCCCCCTGCGTGGATCGCGACCACCCCGTTCCATAAACGTCAGCATTAGCTGGTCAAACTCTGGCGTAAACGCCACTTTGTCTGGCAGGGAAGGTCTAGGGCACTCAGCCCGCATCCTCTTGCGGACGTGCTTCTCGAGCGGTTTCCGAATCCAGAAGTGCATGAACTTCACCAGGTGGTCGGGTGGAGCCCACTCCCCGCAGCGGGGGTGGCGGATGTTCCTGGGATCGAACATGCGTTGTCCCGTAGTATCCAGGAATGTCTCTTGCTCCTGGCTAGCAGATGTCGTGGAAGACTCTGCCAATCCTGTCTTCTGGGGCTCACCCAGGAATGTTTCTGTGACATAGGCGTTGGATCCCCAATCGCCGTCGTCCGAATCCGACGCCTCTGCCTGCCACTCATCCAGGACGGACAGGGTATGGGGCATCTCACCTTCCTCCTCCGAGGAGGCGTCGGGAAATGTTGTAGGCACGGGTGTTATCGGTGCATGGCGCTTGAGAGGCGCCTTGCCCTTTTTTGGGGCTTTCCGAGACCCTTCGCCCTTCCAGTGGCGTTTCGTCGGGCGGTGCCTCTCTGGGGAGGAGTCATCGGAGTCACCGGACTCGTCCCTGGGGCGACTAGACTTGCCAGGCGGCTTGAGGGTGTCAGAGGCCGTCGGGAGTACCAGTGCCATGGCCTTTTCCAGTGATGCGGCTACCGCCGCATTAATCATGGCTTGCATCTGGTCCGCGGAAATCTGTGTCTCCTTTTCCATGTTATGAATTAGCTGGCCGGCACAGGGCGGAGAGGTATGGGGACGGTATGGGAGGGTATGAATAAGAGGCCGGCGGCCGGTTAGGGTATAACGCTTAGTAGCGTGAAAGTCGGACTCGCACTGGGGCTCACCCAGCAAAGAGGGAAGTTGCTTTAACAAATTCCCGTAAGCAGCACTGATGTGGGGGCTCACCCCGTGCCAGGTTACTAGTACAAAACTGACTGGCAAATCCACTCCCAAAGGGTTAACAAACCCAAAATATACAGGTCCCCTTTAAGGCTCTAACAGTAAAACTCACTTTTGCAGCAGATTTAGCAGGCAAACCCAGGAGCTCTCCAGAACACAGGCTCATTCCACAGCAACACAGCACCCACAAAATGGCCCCCGTGATTCTCGCGATGTCTGGCCCTTTAAAAGCCCGGGAAAATTGTGCAGGGCTAAATGGAGGCAAAAGTGCGTTCGGCAAGTTTATTCGAATAAACTGCCGAATGCAGGTATGTGCACATACACCTCCGTTCGCGCTGAAATGCGAACGGAGGAGTCCACAATGGGAAGAAGGCTTCCGTTCGCGCTTTGTGTTAAAGCGCGAACGGAGGCAGCACTGGGTGAAACAAAACCTCCGTTCGCGCTATGTATTGCGCGAACGGAGAGGAGTCAGTAAGGAGAGGGAGAAGGCTTCCGTTCGCGCTTTGTAAAGCGCGAACGGAGGCAGCCCTGGACCTCCCTCGAGCCCTGACTGACAGCAGGGCGGGAAGTACAACCTCCGTTCGCGCTCAGTAGTGCGCGAACGGAGAAGAGGCAGCACTGGGAGGGCGGCTGTATAGAGGCAGCCCTCCGTGTGTATGCTGCCTCAGCCTGCCCGGCTCCGTGCACACAGCAGTGTGAGCCGGGCGGTAGACAAAGGTGGCGAACGTTGCCACTGGGGGGAGGGAGGTGAGGGGAGTGGGTTGTGGGGAGAAAGGGGGGATACCCTCAAGGAACTAATCTGCCCCACAACAGTGAAGGAGCCCCTAATTAAAGGAGCCCTCAAGCATGAAAGGAGCCCTTAATTAAAGGAGCCCTCAATTAAAGGAGCCCTCACTACCCCCACTACAAATACCACAATCAGTTATCTAAAACCGTAAATAATGAAAATTAAACAATAGTAAACAGAAGTAGTACTCTGACCTGTACTTGTGATGGAGCAGCAAAGAAAGAGGGAATGATGGGATATGTATGGGTTTATATATCCTCTGTTTCATTCTGATTGGTTCTTTTCTTTAAGAGTTTTTTTTCTTTGCTGCTATGGAGCTAGTAAAGAAAGTTAATGCAAATATGAAGCCTCCTGTCATGTTATAAAATTCTCCTGTGTGTGGGGTAACCTAAGACACTGAGGTTTAAAGTCTTGGTGGTGGCCGTAAAATGTGTACTAGGGGATTGCAGGGGTTAATTGAGTGGCTGCTGGGACTAGCAACAGGTAACCAGGGGTCTGGTGTTATTAACCCTGTCACTTCCACACTCTCCCCACTGTCTCAGTTGGGCCTATAGCCCACGCTCGTGACAGCCTCCAAAGTTCATGTAAACGTGCGTGTGACGTCACAACGTCGATGCACGTTCTGGGGTCAGGGCTTGGCCTCTGACCAATCACGCCCAAGTAAGGATATTTAAACCCCTAAATTTCCTACCTCATTGCCCTATCGTAGTTTCTGTTCCTGATTCCTGAGATTGCATTTTCTTGTCCTTGTTATTGATATTCCCGGTATTCTGACTTTGGCTATTCCTGACTATCCTGATCTCTGGTTTCCCTGACTTGGCTTTCTTATCGATCTTGTGTCTCTCTGGCTTCTTTAACCTCAGCCTTCCCTTTGTCTTTCAATGTATTAATCTGGCCACTCTAAGGACCAGTTTACGTTCTGTCTATTCTTCTATTCTATGTAGATGTTACATAGTTTTGCGTGTTGGACCCCATTAGTAGTCGTGACAGCTACATCTACCTCTTTTTCTGAACTTAAAGATATCTTCTATTTTGTATGACACAGTAAAAGTGCCCATTTATGTACCATTAGACAGAAATCTAAATAAGTGATGTCTATAACTGTGCTAATATGCATATATGACTGCAATAATGCGTAACCTCATGGTTGCACAATATCAGGTATTTTTGCAATGACAATTCTGAGTTGCCAAAAAGAAATTATTGTATAATCTGGATTTTATAATGAATCATTGAAATTTTTTTTTTTCCTTTTGCTATCTTGCATTAATGAGCAATGAAGAGCAGGACTTTTAAATTTAAAATAAGAGATAAATCCAAAACAAAGGGAAAAAGTCAGTGGGTAACTGGTCACCAACTCAACCCTCCACAGAAACATTATTATTATTATATTATTATTATTATTATTATTATTATTATTATATTTATATAGTGCCAGCAAATTCCGTAGCACTGTACAATGGAAGCGGCAGAATAACAATGTGACGGAAGATAAGAACCATTCGGCCCACCTAGTCTGGCCAATTTTCTAAATATTTCCATTAGTCCCTGGCCTCATCTTATAGCTAGGATAGCCTAGGACAGTCTAGGACAGACTTTGCACAGAGCACTGGGACACTTCTGTGACACGGGTATTCATAGCTTTCTATGAATGAGGCAGTACTGTGACTGCACATAACTTAAACATAGAAACATAGAATGTGACAGATAAGAACCATTCAGCTCATCTAATCTGCCAAATTTTCTAAATACTCTCATTTGTCCCTGGCCTTATTTTATAGCTAGGATAGCCTTATGCCTATCTTACGCATGCTTAAACTCCTTTACTGTGTTAACCTCTACCACTTCAGCTGGAAGGATATTCCATGCATCTACTACTCTCTCAGTAAAGTAATACTTCCTGATATTATTTTTAAACCTTTGCCCATCTAATTTAAGACTATGTCCTCTTGATGTGGTAGTTTTTCTTCTTTTAAATATAGTCTCCTCCTTTACTGTGTTGATTCCCTTTATGTATTTAAATGTTTGTATCATATCCCCATCTCATCTTTCCTCCAAGCTAATACATATTAAGATCCTTTAACCTTTCCTGGTAGGTTTTATCCTGCAATCCATGAACCAGTTTAGTAGCCCTTCTCTGAACTCTCTCTAAGGTGTCAATATCCTTCTGGAGATACGGTCTCCAGTACTGCGTACAATACTCCAAGTGAGGTCTCCAGACATGACAAGAACAAAGCTTTCACACACATCCAGCGTGCAGTGTCAGTGACTGTCCTTCAATATGGAAAGAACACAGAGCCCTATCAACTTCTACAAACTGTGTATGTGGAGGTAGCAAACATGGTCACACCGCAAGACTCAGACAAGCAGGGCACAACCACTATAATAACATCAAAACCATCTCAGTAACAAAATGTATTGACAACCAATGGGGTTAGCAACTTAGCACTTAAAACACATAGCTTAAACTGAGTTTCTGTAGAACTAGTGTTTTAGAAGAAGAAATATACTTCAGTCTTAATGATGGACATAATAGAAAGGGCCAAGGAGAGCCAATTCCTGCAATACAATGGGATGATCAAAGGGTCTTGCAGAAGTGGAGAAGTCAGCGGTAATAGAAATCCAGGTTCATCCGATCACAAATTTCATGGTGACTTCATGATGTCACATGGTCTTTGAAAATGATGTACTAGTCAGGTACATGTTTGGGCTCAGATGAGATTCTTCAAATCTCTAATTTGTACTTTACTCAAA